CTCACTGCAACTTCCATCTCCCAGGTTCAAGCAATTCTCCTGCCTCAGCGTCCTTAGTAGCTGGGAGTACAGGCATGCTCTACTATGCCCACCTGATTTTTTTGTATTTTTAGTAGAGACGGGTTTTGCCATGTTGCCCAGGCTGCTCTTGAACTCCTGGCCTCGTATGATCTGCCTGCCTTAGCCTCCCAAAGTGATGGGATTATAGATGTGAGCCACCACGCCCGGCTATTCAAATGCTTTTCTACCTGAATAGATTCAGAGAAGAAATTTTCACATTTCAAATGGTTTCAGGACAAATTAAATTCATTATTGAAGCTGAAAATTAGTCATGTCCCTGAGATGATGATCAGCACCATGATGAATAGATGTGAATTTGACAATTCATGAAATCCTTTTGTGAGAGGTCAGACTTGAGATTGCATCTCTTTCTACATTCTATTGAAGCAAGTGCCCACTGGCCAGTTCGCTAAAAATGTAATTTTCCAATTGCTCCCTGAGAGAAGCATAATATCTACCACCTGCACGTAATCTACTATTCTTAAATCTCTGGAAACATCCATGCCATTAAAAATTCCAAACAAATATTATGTCTTCTTTATTTTTCACAAATTCATACCTGACCTGAGCAAACAAATATTATTTCAATGCAAAAATTACAGCTAATTTTTTAGCTGGAGAAAATCACGGGTTATTACCATTTAATTTTTAAATGGTTACACAGTTTTCAAGTTAGAACTTAACATTTTTTTTTCTAAGTTATGTGCTTTTCATTCTGCTTTTTAAAAAAAAATTTAATGTGTTTTCTTCCCTGATATGTAAGTATCTATATGTTCTCCTGGACAGTTTGGGATAAAGCAGTATTTCCTCTTGTATAGAGGAATTAAGGAAGCTATATATGTATGTATGTACATATATATTTATTTATATATATTTTATATATATGGAGGTATTTATTGTCTATTTATATAATATATGTAATTTACATGTTATATTTAGCAAAGACTAAAAGTAAATTGTATTTTATATATTTATTTAAGAATCTGAACTTTTTTTTTTTTTTGAGAATGATTCTAGCTCTGTCACCCTGGCTGGAGTGGTGCAATCTCGGCTCACCGCAACCTCTGCCTCCCAGGTTCAGGTGATGCTCCTGCCTCAGCCTCCCCAGTAGCTGGGATTACAGGCACCCACCACCACACCTGGCTAATTTTTGTATTTTCAGTAGAGATGGGGTTTCGCCATGTTGGGCAGGCTGGTCTCAAACTCCTGACCTCAGGTGATTTGCCCTCCTCGACCTCCCGAAGTGCTAGGATTACAGATGGGAGCCACCGCACCTGGCCTAAAAATCTGAACCTTAATTAGCATTTACCTCTCTAATTCTTTGAGAGTTATGTAAGGGATGTGTATTTGTGAAGATGTTGAAAGTTTGACCAAGAATCTATTTCTTCCTGATAGTGAGGAAGAGCTGCTTTGTAATTTTCTGAATCAATGTGCTTTGGAGGTATTCACTACTTAAAAAATATTGGGTTTTTACCTGGTTGCATTGCAGAAAAACTACTGTAGGAGAGGGGAAATACCTATAGCTAATGATTACATGATCCCTGTGTCAAACTGAAATATTAATAATCAAAAGGATCAGGCTGGGCGAGGTGGCCCACGCCTATAATCCCAGCACTTTGGGAGGCCGAGGTGGGCAGATCATGAAATGAGGAGATTGAGACCATCCTGGCCAACAAGGTGAAATCCCGTCTCTACTAAAACAAAAATACAAAAATTAGCTGGGCGCAGCGGCAGGCACCTGTAATCCCAGCTACTCAGAAGGCTTGATAGCAAGGCAAAATAACAGGGCATTTTGCTTGTAATTACTCAAACAGTTGTCTCATTTTTAATGTTTGAACATGAAATTATTATTATTTTTTATTATGCATTGACCCCTCACAGAGATTTGCTGTCCAAATGCCAAATATCAAGATTCGCTTAGGAGTTTTTCCACCTTTCGATGTTTCTCTTTGCTTTGGGATCATGGAGCAATATGGTCCTTACTCTGTTCCATCTTTCTTTAGAGATAATGTAAGCACCCAATGGGTTCACCTTGCAATAGATAAAGAGTAATTCACAGAGTCAGCTGTGCTGCAGACCAGAGTTTTATTGTTACTCAAATCAGTCTCCCCAGATCAGAGTTTTTAAGGATAATTTGGTGAGTGGGGGAAGGCCAGTGTGTAGGAATCCTGATTGGTTGGGTCAGAGATGAAATCATGGGGAATTGAAACTGTCCTCTTGCGCTGAGTTAGTTCCTGGGTGGGGGTCACAAGATCAGATGAGCCAGTTTATTGATCTGGGTGGTGCCAGATGACCCATCAAGTGCAGGGTCTGCAAAATATCTCAAGCACTGATCTTAGCAGCAGTTTAGGGAGAGTCAGGAGAATAGCTTGAATCAGGGAGTTGGAGGTTGCAGTTAGCGAAGATCTCGCCACTGCACTCCAGCCTGGGGACAGAGCAAGACTCCATCTCAAATAAATAAATAAATAAATAGATAAATAAAAAGGATCAGAATCTAGTTTTGAAGAGTTTATTCAAGTGAAAACTTGGGAATGGCCAATCCGGGAGATGCAGACTCTGGAAAAATGAGGTAAGCGTTCCAAAGTTAAAAGTTAAGCTCTTGCTTCTATAAGCACAAAGTAAAGAAATTTGACAGGATTTCAGCATTTGCTATACAAGGCTGGTTTATGAGTTATAACAACATAATTAGTTACAGTTTGTTTTTTTTCTATGTAGCTTGTTTTCTTTTCTTTATAGCTGGTTTTCATTTTCTTTCCAATTTAAAAGAGTATATTTAACTTTCCATCTTAAGGCAATGTGATGGCCATGGGGTCCTTGTGTGCGAAGAGTAAGAAGGAAGTTAGTCTATAATGAAGATCAGCAGTGAAGAGGGAAGGAGTCTTCTCTGGTGCTCTTTAGTTTTACAACATTTTACAATATTTTACAAAACAATGTTGGTAAGGAAGAAGGCTAATCTGTAGTCAGAGAAACAAGAGTTATAGCTGCCTTGGTTACTGCTGCCTCTCAAGTGACCTCACCCCTCCAACAATCATTGTCCTTTAAGACTCAAAATAATCTAGAGTTCCAGTAGCTTAGGTTTTGAATTACTTATTTTCACACCTGTTACAAGAACTAGCTGTATTCTCAAGTTGTATTTTGCAGTTTAAGTACGTGTTATAAAATTGAGTGATGGAAATATATCAAAACAATCATAATAGCTTTTAAAATTAGCTACACAAAAAGATTTATTAAAGCAAATACTAAATTAAATTTTAAGAATAAAAACAACATGTTTTTCAGTTTTACACCCACCTAAATACATCTGTTTCATCTTTTCTAGGCTTTGCTAGAGGTGGTTAATGACCTCTTTGAAGAACAGACTGACCTGGAGAAAATTGTCAAGAAAATAATGCATCGGGCCCAAACTCTGCTGAAATGTGAACACTGTTCTGTTTTGCTCCTAGAGGACATCGAATCACCAGTAAGTTATTTTTTATCTTTTTAAGTTGAAGACTATGTGAGTGGAATAAAGTTGAGTTTATTTATAATTAAGCTTGTGAAATTGGGACTTGAATCACTCCATGACTCTTCTAACCATGAGGCAACTTTTCATAAAACAAGAGTTTTTAAAAATTTCTTTTATGTGTATTTCATTCTCATTTTGCAGTCAACTTAGAAACATAGACTTTTAAGCTAACAGGGACTTTAGAGATGTATCCCAGCCCTTTGTAATTACAGATGAAGGAACCAAGGGGTTTAGTGGTTTGCCCAACCTCACACAGCTCCGTTAGAAGATAAACTCAAGTGTCTGTCTCACATTTTATTTACCTGTGAGGGGGAAAGCCCTCAGCATTTCATCGGGTGGATTTCAGTCCAGACAATGATCCATGGCCTTCTTAAGGCGAGAAGGAAGCAAGCAAATGAGTGGAGATTCAGTGCGCTTAGCTCTTGGAGCCCAGACAAACTGGAATCAAGCCAAATGGAGTGGCCAGCTGTAGCTGGGCTGTTCCCTGCAGCAGGTTTGTCCTGCAGAAGCTTCCAAGATCTTTCACAGCTGCTGTGGACTTGTGAATTTTGGCACAGAGTAGCCTTACCAGGTGAAGGAAGCTGCTGTCCACTTCCCTGCAGGGGTTCCTGCCACTCCAGAGGGAAGCATCTCATCCAAGGCCTCAGGGCTGCCTCACTGTGGCAATTTGTGGCCAGCTTTCTGGTTTTGTTAAGCCCTTTGGCTTTCAGGGGGAAATCTGCTGGGTAGATAAGCAACACTACTGAAATAATCATCATCATCAATCTGAATTCTTGAAAGTTAAATGTCTAAACCCTTGGCGCAATTTAATGTCTTTGCTGAGAACTCTCTTCAAACATCGGGAATTGTCTAGCAATTAAGAGCTGCTTTAATACCTGACAGAATGTCATTTTGCCACACTTTACTTAAAAGAGATTATTGCCTTTGCCTTTAGGTTCGTTTTCCTCAAAGAATAAGAACCTTGGGGTAAACTTTGGAGATTTACTTATAAGTATTGTGAGACTCACAACATTAAATTTTGAAAAAAATCTATGTCTAAAATGTTTAGGAGTGTTTCCCCAGATTTTAGCAGAGATTGGGGTTATTTCTGTTTCAGTCAGTGTGGTTTACACAAACAATAGCCTGTAAAGTACCCTGTGATTGTATAAATCTCAGCTGAACCTTGGGAGAACATGCACACACACACCCCAATAGCCCATACTTACGGAATGCTTCCAGAAACTTTCGGAAACATTTGCATTCTTTCAATTCTTACCTATGAGGTAGGTGTTATTATCATCCTATAATAATTTTATAAATAAGGAAATAAGGTTCAGAAAGTTGAGTGACTTGCCAGTCACTTCCACTGCCTGACCCTTAAAGGAATGGGAAGTGGTGGGGTGCTCATTGGTACCTGGCAGGTTTCAGGGCCACAGAGAAGCCCCCATTAAACAAAGGCAGAAAGGGGCAACTGTTGAAGCTCTGGCTGCCAGGATTACCTGGGCCACCCCAAGGTCCCTGTGGGAGCAAGTGGCTGGGTGTGAGGGTCTGGGGTAGGCAGGCTGGAATCTGGACACAGGCAAATTCATTGTTTGCTGGCTCACTTGTAAACAGACATGAAAGCAACTTAAACCAGCTAAGGTGGTCATTCTTGCTAATCTAACTTGAACTAGTTTTTATGGTGTGATCTAACTCTTTAGTAAACGACCAAAAAAATACAGATAATAGAAGTTGATATTGGATGTGGGGGCAGAGCTGGAGGGAACAGTAGAAACAGCAATATCTTCATGATATAAAGTATGGAGATGAGTGATCAAAAAACATTGTCTAGATAGAGTAGATGGTACAAACGATAATGGTGCTTGCTGGTATTCTACTGAAAGTACAAAAGGCCTGTTTGCTATCACTGCTGAACATTCTAAGACTATAATGTTGGGGTTGAAAATTCTGGACCACTCCTCATCAATTCTTTCTTCTCTCTCTCTCTTTTTTTTTTGAGATGGAGTTTTGTTCTTATCGCCCAGGCTGGAATTCAATGGTGTGATCTCAGCTCACTGCAAACTCCGCCTCCTGGGTTCAAGCAATTCTCCTGCCTCAGCCTCCTGAGTAGCTGGGATTACAGGCATGTGCCACCACTCCTGGCTAATTTTTTGTATTTTTAGTAGGGTCAGGGTTTCGCCATGTTGGTCAGGCTAGTCTTGAACTCCTGACCTCAGGTGATCCATTCACTTCGGTCTCCCAGAGTACTGGGATTACAGGCATGAGCCACTGCACCCGGCCCATTTCTTCTGTTTTTTTACCCATCCTCCTCCGAAGTGTTATTGATGGAAAAACAAAACTCTGTGAATATTTTATTTTTGTATTGTTTTGGTTTTCTGATTTTTAAAAATTCTAATCTACATTTTAATTGGCAAATAATTTTATGTATTTATAGTATACAGTGTGATGTTTTGATACATGCGTCTATTGTGGATAATTAAATCAAACTAATTAACGTATGCATCCCCTCACATACTTATTTTTTATGGGGAGGACATTTGAACTTTAGCAATTGTGAAATATACGTTATTACTCACTGCAGTCACCATGCTGTGCAATAGATCTCAAAAATATATTCTTTCTGTCTAATGAAATTTGGATGCTGTGACCAACAACTCTTCACTCACTTTTAATTTTAGCCTCTGGCAACCACCATTCTACTTTCTGCATCTATGAGTTAAACTTCTTTCAATTCTACAAATAAGTGAGATTGTGCAATATTTTTCTTTCTGTACCTGGCTTATTTCACTTAACACAACTTCATTCAAGCTAATTCATATTGTTCAAAATTACAAAATTTTATTCTTTTTAAAGGCAGAATAGTATTTTTAATGGATAATTGTTTTAATTACCTTGCATATTTTACAGACTTATTATTGAAAGTTTCCTCTGTCATCAAGTCCCTCAAAGCACCTCCAAAAAAGCATCTCTTCAAATATGAAACTCGCTCCCTCCTTTTTAAATTATTGTTGAACTTTGTGGTTTTTTATTTTTATATTTTATTATACTCTAAGTTCTGGGGCACATGTGCAGTACGTGCAGGTTTGTTACATAGGTATACATGTGCCATGGTGGTTTCCTGCACCCATCAACCTGTCATCTACATTAGGTATTTTTCCTAATGCTTTCTATCCCCTAGGCCTTCACCTTCCAACAGGCCCTGGTGTGTGATTTTCCCCTTCCTGCATCCATGTGTTCTCACTGTTCAACTCCCACTTATGAATGAGAATGTGTGGTATTTGTTTTTCTGTTCTTGTGTTAGTTTGCTGAGAATGATGGTTTCCAGCTTCATCCCTGTCCCTGCAAAACACGTGAACTCATCCTTTTTTATGGCTGCATACTATTCCATGGTGCACATGTGCCACATTTTCTTTATCCAGTCTATCACTGATGAGCATTTGGGTTGGTTCCAAGTATTGGTTATTGTGAACAGTGCCACAATAAACATATGTGTGCATGTGTGTTTATAGTAGAATGATTTATAATCCTCTGGATATATACCCAGTAATAGGATTGCTGGATCAAATGGTATTTCTGGTTCTAGATCCTTAAGGAATCGCCACACTGTCTTCCACAATGATCGAACTAATAAAGACTCCCACAACAGTGTAAAAGCATTCCTATTTCTCCACATCCTCTCCAGCATCTGTTGTCTCCTGACTTCTTAATGATCACCATTCTAACTGGCATGAGATGATACCATTGTGGTTTTGATTTCTCTAATGACCAGTAATGATGAGCTTTTTTTCATATCTTTTGGCTGCATTAACGTCTTCTTTCGAGAAGTATCTGTTCATATACTTTACCCACTATTTGATGGGGTTGTTTGTTCTTTTCTTGTAAATTTGTTTAAGTTCTTTGTAGATTCTGGATATTAGTCCTTTATCAGTTGGATAAATTGCAAAAATTTTCTCTCATTCTGTAGGGTGCCTGTTCACTCTGATGATGGTTTTTGTTGTTGTTGTTTTTAGTTTTTTGTTTGTTTGTTTGTTTGCTGTGCAGAAGCTCTTTAATTAGATCCCATTTGTCAGTTTTGGCTTTTGTTGACATTGCTTTTGATTCCTTAGTCGTGAAGCCTTTGCCCATGTGTGGCCTCGATCACGTTGGGGTCACCACTCGGGGAAGTCTAACCTGCAGACCCTGACTCCACAATCAGATGAATGAATGTACTCTCACACCATTACAGTGTTTCAAGTGGGCTAGGGGTGGCCGTTGGCTGCTTTCAGAGGGTGAAATGCAACCAATCAACCCAGACCCTCTGACCATCACACATTTATTCCCTCAAGATGTTACAACAAAGGTTCTAAGTTAACACACTTGTGGATAATTAACATGGTTAAGAGAATGGTTTTACGACTGGTAAAAGCTTTAGGTTCTAGGGCCCAGAGTAAATACTATTAACAGGTAATTTGCCTTTGATCTTCCCTGGAGAGATCACGCAGCACAAAATTAACATGAGTAAACACAGTGGAGACAAATGGGTGTGGGGTAAGGCCTTTTTGATCAGCTCTCTCTCTGTAACTTAACATGATGGACCGGCCACCTTCAGCCTGCCCCAATAAAACCTTTCAGCCTTCCAAAGATTTGAGACTAAAATCTATAACTTTCTCTATGTATTTTCTGTAATATTTTGCCAACCACCTCGAGTGAATAGCAACATTTCCCCCTATTTTTTGTTATTAAAATTAGGCTCTGTTGTTTGCTGGCCACTGATGCGGTTAGCCATGGATATGTCAGGTGAGGCGGTCCTTCCTTTTTTTTAAATTTAATTTAATTTTATTGCATTTTAGGTTTGGGGGTACATGTGAAGAACATGCAAGATTGTTGCATGGGTACACACGTGGCAGTGTGATTTGCTGCCTTCCTCCCCATCACCTATATCTGGCATTTCTCCCCATGCTATCTCTCCCCAACTCCCCACCCCCCACTGCTCCTCC